AGCATGCAGCTCCTGGGGTGGGCGTGGGGTGGGAGGGCCTCTGTGTGCACACTGCTGTGGCTCAGCTGGAGGCATGTTCACTCTCTAGCTTCCTAGGCAAATCTGAAAGTTTTCCAGAGTGAATGGACAAAAAAGTTGGACCCACGTGCTATGTTGTTATAATAAATTGTGGCACAAAGAATGTCTCCCCTGGGCAGGGAGGGCCACAGTCCCATCCTGGAGGATGCAGTGCTTGCCAGGTCCAACACCTTGGGTCTCTGGGGGCACTTGTGCCCCTCTAAAGTTTAACTGGCAAATGATGATTGTGCTGGATCCTGGGCTGGGTCCTGGGCTGGTGACACGCATGGGACACACAGTCGGGCACGGCCACAGCCCTGAGTGTTCCAGGTGATCCACAGAGAAAGGAGAGGGGCAGACTGCCTGGGCCAGCAAGAGCTTGGGGTGGAGGGACTGGCTGAAGGACCCGCAAAGGGATTCTGGTAGGCCAAGTGCATGTGCAGAGGCTTGGGTGCATGCAGAGTGTGGTGTGTTTGGAAAAGCGTACATTTGGTTCTCTGAAGTTGGAAGGGCCATGCTAAGGGGGTGGGAGGACAGGAGATGAAGCTGCAGACATGGGTGGTCAGTCGGGACCAGGCTTTAGAAAGGGCTCCCAATAGGAGAGGAGACAAGAAGCTTACATACTCCAGTGTTGGGAGCCTTCGCGAAAGCTACATGATCTTGACTTGGGGCAACTAACGGGTTTTTATAGCAGGGATGAGGTTCATTTTCTCATTCGACAAATATTATTGAGAGCTTTCTGTAAAGCTTGAGGTAGTACCCTGGGCCTGGGATATGACCTGCTGTGCCAAGACAGACAGAGTTCCCCCAACAGCCCCAAACCTATAACCATCAACAAGTAAATGCCTAAATGAGCGGATGACAAATGTGACAGGGGCGCTGACGGAGATGCTGGCTGATCTGAGAGTAGAGGGTAGTCAGAGGAGACCTCTCTGAAGAAGGGACACTGGAAGCGTGAGGAGTGGGGACTTTCCAGGTGGAAGGAGCAGCGTGTGTAATAGCCCCACGCTGGGAAGAAGGGCAGTGGGGGCAAGGAACACAGAATGGCAGAGTGTCCAGTCCTGGGCCTGTTTTCCACCCTCCTGCCCTGGGGCAAGACAGTGCTCAGAGCTGAGGGGTGCCTGCCACCCAGGGAGCCCCCCAAGGCCCTGAAATCCTCCCTCTTGGTCACACCACTTATCTGGCTGTGACTTGTGCCCTAGGAGACAGAAAATCCTAGATAGGTTCACCTTTCCTCTTATCACATCTAGCCATGTGGCCTGGCCCCTTGCTAGTGCACTTTCCCTCTGAGTGTGTGTCAGCAGGATTCTGGACCTGGACAACCCTGAGCGAGAGGCTGGAGGGTCAGTCTTCTTTCTGGGCACCCCCACTGTCTCCTGACGGGGATACCTCTTCCACATAGGTCACTGCACACACTAACTCCTTTAGGCCAGTGATAGCACCACCCCACAGATGGGGACAAGGACCGTGATGGGTCCCACAGCCTCAGCCAGGCTTAGAACCCAGTTCTTGCTCTGCTGGGTGCTGTTGGCCATTGGCTTCAACAAACTGCTCTTAATGTCTGGCTTTTGCAGGAAAACTTCCCCAGGGTTGGTCAGAAAACCAGCCCAGCCTCTCTGACCAGTGACCCCAGGGGTAGCTCACCACCCCCCACCCCCACTCCAGGTCTAGCTCACTCTGTACCAGAAACTAGTAGGAGCCATGTCAGCCCTGGGCCTGAGCCTTACTCTCTGTGATGTAGCCTCTGTAATCCCTTCCTGTGGCTACCAAATTAGTATAAGACAGAGCCGGGATCTGAACTCCGGCTTGTCTGGCTCTCTGCTGCCTTCTGGCTTCTCTGGCTCCTTACCATCAAAGGAATGACTCTCAAATGGTAGGATTTCAGGCAGTGGAGAGAAGGGATTTAGAGCAGGAATGTCTCCTATCCTTGAATGAGAACGAATGGGAAAATGCTTTGAGTGTCAAGGGCCATGTGAATATGGTGTGCTACCACCTGAGTTAGAACTCCTCCCCACCCACTGAACAGATGGGGGTACTGGAAAGTCCAGAGTGGGCCAGAGACTTCCATGAGTAATTGCCAGGGCCTCTGCCTTTAGTCTAGGCCCTTCCTCCTCCAGCAGTCCGATCTCAGCTTGGGCATGCCCCCTGCAGACAGGCTCCAGAATCTAGCAGGATACTGCGGGGCACAGTGATCAGTGCAGCCCCGTCCTAGCAGGGAGGGGCCTAAAGCTGGGTTAGCAGAGTGAGAGAGGCTGCGCAGCTGAATGGATGCTGGTTGCCACTTACTGTTAGCAGCTCTGGGTAAGTTATCTGACCTTTCTGAACCTCACATGCCCCATCTGTAAAGTGGGCACAATCCTGTCCCCACCTCACAGGGTCACTATGAGGTTTAAATTACAAAGCCATAAAGCTGCTGAGTACAGCTCAGTGAATGACCCAGCTTGGGGCTGAGCCTGTGCCTCATGGCCAGCTGAACACAGGAGCCCCTCTTCCCCGAGCAGGCCCATCCCTTCTCCCGTCGGGCAGTGCGTGGAAGGGTCATGCTCCTGTTGACCACAGCCCCGCCTCCTGCCTGCCCTGCCTGTCTTCTTCTGCCCATGGGCCGCCCTTCTCAGGCTGGGGAGGCAGAGACTGGGGGTGTGTCTGGACGGATCCCTCCCTCAAGGCCTCAGCAGGACTGGGAAATTCTGAGCAGAATGGGAACTGAGTGCTCCTGGCTCTGAGCTCCCAGAGCCCTTCATCACCTCCAGACTCAGGCTTGAGGCCCGGCTCCCGGGCTCTTCCACTGTGGCCTCTGTTACCGTTCAAGCACTCCTTTCATGACCGATTCTCTGCTAATGAGACTCCTAGGTTTCCTGGAGTCTATACAGGGCCTGGCCTAACACATTTGTCAGATGAACCGACCGATGGAAGGGCTTTTTAAATTAAATTTTTTATTTTTAGGTAATTGCAATGTACATACAGTTGTAAGAAATAATACAGAGGATCCAATCTATTCTTTTCTTAGTTTCCCTCAATGGTATAATCTTGCAAAACTAATATAATATCATAACCAGAATATTGACGTAGAAACCAGCCAGCCGGTCTCACTCAGACTCCACCATTTTCCCTTCACTCGCTTTGTGTCCAGTGCTGTGCGGGTTCATGTGTCCACCGCCTGTCCCCACTTCTTAGCACACGGAGAATCCTTGCCATCCTTTTATAGCCACACCCATGTCCCTCCCAGCCTCTGCATCACCCTCTCCCCTTTGTCTCCCCACCAACCAATAATCTGCTTCCCATCTCTGTAATCATGCTGTATAGTATGTACCTTTTTGAGATTGCTTTTTTTCACTTGGCATAGTTCACTTGCAATTCATCCAAGTTGTTGCCTATATCAGTAGCTGGTTCCTTTTTATTGCTCAGTAGTATTCCAGTCTGGATGTGCCACAGGTTGTCTAACCAGTCACTGAAGCGCATTTAGGTTGTTTCTAGTTTTTGGCTGGGACAGATAAAGCTACCATGAACACTCATGTAGGAGTTCTTTTGTGAACATGTTCCCATTTCTGTGGGATAAGTAAATGCCCAAGAGTGCAATTGCTGGATTGTATGATTAGTGCATATTTAGCTTTAAAGGAAACTGCCAAGGAGCGCCTGGCTGGCTCAGTCAGTAGAGCGTGTGACTCTTGATCTCCGGGTTGTGAGTTTGAGAGCCCCTAAGTAATAGAGATTCTTAAAAATAAAATCTTCAAAAGAAAGAAACTGCCAAACCATTTTCCAGGGTGGCGGTACCATCTTGCATTCCCAGCAGCAATGTATGAGTGATTCCGTTTCCCCACATCCCCACCAGCACTTAGTGTTGTCACCGTTTTGTAATTTAGCCATTCTGATAGGGCTGGGTAGTGATTCTCACAGTGGCGGACGGGTTCTGCTGTGCCTTGCTGGTGGCCCCTGCGGCACCGGGCCTGGTTTTGTGGGTTTCTGCTGGGCCATCAGCATCACCCTGATCAGTAGCCCCTTGAAGGCAGAGCTTAAAGTCACTCAGGTAGAGGTTTGTTTTAATCCTCATGGGGGAAAGGGCATTTGGAGTTAAGATGCTGAGAAAAGCTGTCGGGTCTGACCCAGCCCCTCACAGCAAGTGGTGACTGCTGTTTGAACAGCACCTTCTGTTTCAGACAAAAAGCTGGGCATTTAATAAGCCAGCTGTGGGTCTTCAGCGTTCTGTGCCCCTGCTGTGGGCCAGCCCCAGGCCAGATGCGTTAATTACATCTGGAATTCAGAGATGACCCCAACTCCCACCCATGGTAGGTCCTGGTTCCCTGAATCATGGTGGAGAATGGGGAATTGGACCAGGTATGGTGGAGTCTTGAGGGAGGCAGACTGGTGTATGGGGTTTCCACATAACTTGGGCGGGGGATAGCAAGATGGGGGTAGGGTTAGCTGGACCCTGAAGGAGGTGTTGGTCTTTGACCAAACAGAGAGGGGACGTCCAAGCAGAGGGAAGGTAGAGGAGGAAAAGTCCAGGGGGAGCAGTAGGTCTCTCAGTGAGCTTTAGGAAGCAAGGTTAACATTGCTTAGCATTCTTGCGCTCTACTCTGCTGTCACTGTCTCCCCTCGCACTGGGTCAGGCTCTGTCACAGTCTGTGGCACCATGAACTTTATCATCTAGCCCATGTCCCAGCTGGAAAATACCTCTGTATGGGACTATGAGGTGGAGGATGTCTTTAGTCCATGTTGGCATCCCCAGCTAGACTTGGCCTTGGCCTAGTAGGAGGGTAGGCAGCGCCTGTGTCTGTCTGTCTTGGTCATTGCTGTCAGCTCCCCCCGACTCTCCTGCTCCAGAAATCCTCCTTGAGGGAACAGCTGAGGCCAGAGCTAGGGCCTGTCAGGTGGGGTCTCGAACCTGAAAGGGTTTCGCGAAGGTTGGGACCTGACCTCCCTATCCTCCTCTCCCCTCTCTGCAGGTTCATCATGCCTAGTGGCGTATAAGAAGACCCCACCACCAGTCCCTCCACGTACCACGTCAAAGCCCTTCATCTCTGTCACGGTGCAGAGCAGTACTGAGTCTGCCCAGGACACCTACCTGGACAGCCAGGACCACAAGAGTGAGGTGACAAGCCAGTCGGGCCTGAGCAACTCATCGGACAGCCTGGACAGCAGTACTCGACCGCCCAGTGTGACACGGGGCGGAGTCACCCCAGCCCCTGAGGCTCCTGAGCCACCCCCAAAACATGCAGCTCTGAAGAGTGAACAAGGGACGCTGACCAGCTCTGAATCCCACCCTGAGGCCATCCCCAAAAGGAAACTGTCATCTATAGGAATACAAGTAGGGGTCCCTTTCACACTCTTATGTCCTCAGCCCACTCTGCACCTACCTGTGTGTAATTACATCTGGTGGAGGCCCACTAGGGCTCTGGGGCAAAGTGGTTTGTCTGTATTTGGGGGGGTTGGCTCCAAGTGGCCAAACCAAATTCCATGCATAGCCACGCCTTCCTTGCATTTGCCCACTCCTTTGGCAGTCTGCAGCTGTGGGCATGTGGCCCTGCTCCTCCGATGGGCTGTCCCAGTGAATGTAGTTACACTCAGCCAGCCATCTCCTGTCCACTGTTCACCTGTCCACCGTCTGTCTGTCCACTCTACCCTTTGCCCTGCCAGCCGACTCGTGGGAGGTGGGACTGGCCTAACAGTTCTCTAATCCAAGGTCAGCTCGGGTGCGGAGGCCACAGCCCCGCTTGGCGGCGGGAGCAGCATGGAGCCTAGACGCCGATGGGCCTGGGGCCCGGGACTCAGAGCCCTTGAGCCATGGGGGTTACTTGAGGGGAACTTTACCCAGAGCCCCCTCGGGCCTTGGGGACAGGTAGGTGGCTCGAGGCACCAGGGCCATGTCAAATTGAGAAGTGTGATGCTGGTCCCGATGCCTCCCTCCACGGGACAGGACGCAGGCAGATATTTCCCTGGGACCGAGTGGCCAAAGCCAGCAGACCCTCCTGGAAGCCAAACTCACTATCCACCCATGGCCGCAGCACGCAGAGGGACAGGGCACACCAGCCTCCCCTCCCCTGCTTCACTGCGCCTCCTGCATGCACCAGAGAGCAGTAACCTGTTTTCTGGCAGCCGAGCTGGGGCAGCTGGAGCCCTGCCTCGCAGGAGTCAAGAGCTGCTCTGAGTCCAGAGTGAGAGGACTCTCCCTGCTCTGGCCAGACCTCAGACTAAAGCGGGCCACACTCAGGGCAGGGAGGAAGGGAGGGCAGCTACGGTGAGCCTTGAGCTTGGGGAAGGTGGAGCCCTCAGGGAGGTCAAGCTGGTGTGTGTTGTGGCTTAGGGCTGCAAGGGCTCCCCATTTCCCCAGCCGCCCCTGAGCAACCGGATGTGGCCAAGTGGATGGCAGAGCGCTAGAATGCCCGAGGAACTTGAGACACGAGGAAGACCACATGGCTCTGACCACAGAAGGCTCACTAGCCAATTTCTTGCGCTGGCCTGAATTATTTTCCCCCTAAGAGGCAACTTGGGGCTTGAGTTTCCCCACAAATACAGGAACAGAATTGTCTGGGAGACTAATGGTTTCTGGGCTCCTTCTTAAGGAGTCCAGCCCCCGCCCTGTGAAGCTGCTCCAAGAGGGATTCTTAAGGACATCAGAATAGCCTAGTCTCTTGGCCTTGACCACTGAGGGTCATTGTTTGGGCAGCCCCACCCTCTCCTTGGCCAAACCAGAGGCTCCTGTCTTTTCAGAAGATCTGAGCTAGGCTCACCGTTGGTTCCTTTCATCTAGAAATTCACCATGGGGTTGAGGATCCTAGCTCTTGGGACCATCCTGGGCTTTCCTCTTCCTGGGATTCACCCCCACCCCTGTGCCGAGCTCTTGTCACAGCTCTTTGAAGTCCGTGATGCTGCACTTCCCAAGTGAACTCTTGTTGCAGGAGAAATGCAGCTGCGTCCCCATGGCGAGGAGCCTGGCGCCCAGCCTCTGCCCCAGAAAGCCTCGCAAGCCCCCTTCCACATCTGTGAAGACAAGGGACTGGGAGTCCCCAATTTCCAGGGATGCCCTGACAACCCTCATCCCACCCCTTGGTACCTCAAGCCCTAGGTCAGGTGTGGGTTCTCCCTCATTCATGAGCAGTGACGGAAGGGCATGACTGCTGCCGGGTTTCTTTCCACTTCACAGGAGTGTAGGAAAAGTGCTAGCTTTTGAGTTAGCTGGCCCTGGTCCTTCCTACTGCTCCCCAGGCCCACCCACAGCTGAAGGTCACCTCAGCCATCCAGGCCCAGGGACGGCATCCCAGAGTGTCCTGGGGCTTCACTGTATCACCTTGGGGCAGTTTCCAAATCCAGAACTGCTGTCCAAGGTTTGGCCCTGAGACAGGCGCCTCCAGCCTGCCCTTCAGCGGCAGTGTTGGGGGAGCCATCCTTGCTTCGAGACAGCCCCCAGCTTCGACTACACCAGATAACGGCTGTGGCTTTGTGTGTGTGTGTGTGTGTTTTCTTTCTCTCTCGTCGTCCTTCTTTTTTTTTTTTTTTCTTCTCTGATGCGTGTAAAGGAGAGGACTAGAAGGAACGGTTCCCACCTCTCGGAGGACAACGGACCCAAAGCAATCGATGTGATGGCACCCTCCTCAGAGTAGGGAAAGCCAGTCATCTCCACTCCATCCCCCCTTCCCGCCCACCTGCCCGCCCGCCTCCGCGCGAATGAGCAGTGCCCGGCTTCACTGGGTCCGGCCTCGGGCCCATGTGCAGTGTCCGCATGCCTCGTGTCTGTCTGTCCTTCTGCGTCGTCCCACTAATGTGAATTTCAGCAGCAAGTGTGGTGTTTGTTTTTTATTTTTGTCTTTGTCTCCGTGCGTTGCTGTCGTTGTCCTTCAATAAGGTTGACTGCATTCAGCCAGTGCCAAAAGAGGAGCCCAGTCCCGCTACCAAATTCCAGTCCATCGGGGTTCAGGTAGAGGACGACTGGCGGTAAGTCGCACAGAGGTGGTGGCTGCTTCTCCCCCTCCTCTCCCTCCCTCTGCTCTCACCTCTCCTGCGCCTTCTCCTCCTGCTCTCCCTAACCCACTTCTCCTTGCTGGATTTCTAATAACCAAGCTGGGTTTGGGGTTTGGGCAGTGGCCCAGGCATGGGAGGCTGGGCAGGCAGGTGGGTGGGCCAGTGAGCGCTTGCTCTGCGAGATTAATCAGCCCTCAGGGGGCCGAGGCCAGCAGAGACATGGCCCAGCACCCCGATGTTGGTGGGCTTCCTGGCCCCACTGCAGTAAACAGGCAACCTTATGACCTTGTCCGTGTGTGTGTGTGCGCGTGCGCGTGTGGGCGCGGACGGGTGGGGCAAGGGCTGAGCAGAGAATGAGACGGGGGGCTGTGGGACCCGCTTCAGGCGCATGGTGAGCAGACGATGCATCCGTTTCTCTGTCTCCCGTGTGTCCGGGTTGGGGTGGCCTCTGGTCCCTGGCCCTCCTGGTGACTCTCACCTTTTCCTGTCCCCGCCCCACTTCACCCCCCACCCTCCCACCCTCTAGAAGCAGCGCCCCCTCTCACAGCATGTCCTCCCGACGGGACACCGACTCAGACACCCAGGATGCCAATGACTCAAGCTGTAAGTCATCTGAGAGGAGCCTCCCGGACTGTACCCCACATCCCAACTCCATCAGCATTGATGCCGGCCCTCGGCAGGCCCCCAAGATTGCCCAGATCAAGCGCAACCTCTCCTATGGAGACAACAGCGACCCTGCCCTAGAGGCATCCTCGCTGCCCCCACCCGACCCCTGGCTCGAGACCTCCTCCAGCTCCCCGGCAGAGCCAGTGCAGCCAGGGGCCTGCCGCCGGGACGGCTTCTGGTTCCTGAAGCTCCTGCAGGCGGAAACGGAGCGGCTGGAGGGCTGGTGCTGCCAGATGGACAAGGAGACCAAAGAGAACAACCTCTCCGAAGAAGGTGAGTGCCGCAGGGACGGCCTCCGGGCTGGAGAGAAGGGGGCCCAGCTCGTGCCTCAGGTTCCCTGCTGGAGTCGGCTGTGAGCTCACCTCCTGTTCCCCTTCTTTCTGCCATCTCTCTACCTAACCTCACCTTTCTCCGGGAAGGATTTATGGCAGCGGCTGTTGGGGGCACAGGCTGTGGGCTCAGCCACACCTGGGCTGGGATGCTGCTCTTCCCTTCGTCGTGAAGCGACCGTAGTCACGTGCCTCCCAGCCTCGGTTTGTTCTGTGTAACGGAAGGGTAGATACTCCTGCCCTCCAACTGTGTGAGCGTTTGTGAGGATGGGAGGTGGCCATGCGTGGGAGGGCCCGAAGAAGTGGCCCACGGAGACAGCTGGTACCATACTTATGCCTTCAACAGCTCCTTATTGAGCACCTACCGTATGCCCATCCCCAGGGATCTAACCTCGGGCCTCAGCAGGGTGTGAGGAACTGTGAACAGATGACACAGAAGCCAGCTACTCCTCCACTTCTGTTACTATCTGTACCGTGCCTATTACGAAAAATTCCCTCGAGAAATGAGTCCCAGAAAGAGCTAAAATTATGCAGGGAGCCAAATTCACAGGTGGTTGATAACCTCCAGGCCACGGCCCCAGGGGCCACAGCTCATCCTCAGTGAGGGCCCTCTCCAGAGAACATGCAGGAAGGACAGGTCTCCAGAGTATCCAGAAGGGATGGAGCCAGCATCCCACTGACCCCAGATGGCATGGGGCCTGAGGAGAGCCCCCTTGGATGGGTCCGTGTCCACGGACCTCTAGGCCGGTGTCCCAGCTTTGATGTCACATGCTGCTGCGCAGAGAACAGTCATAAGAACTTTGCACAGCGAGAGTATTTAACAAGTCAGAATGGAGGCAAGGCCCAGAGAAGGCACTGAAAGCCTTCCAACAGGAACCAGGTAGCCCACTACCCGGCCCCCACCTTCCCTGCTTGCAGCTCTTGGCGGCTGTGCGTTCTGGTATTTTATTTCCTCTCAAATTCATCATCATGTATTGATTTCCTGCTCTAAGAGATGAGCAGTTAGCTCTGTCACGTCTGCCTCCTGTCCCACCCTCCATGTGGGACATCACCATTTGGGGTTAAATACCACCAGTAGTTCTGGGCACCGTGAGCATGGAAATACTGTTCACTGCAGAGCCTAATACTGTATGGTGATTTCATTTCCTTTTCCACATTTTATTTTTCCTAAAATGAATGATTGCCTCATCTTTTTTATACCCTTCGTTTTCTAAGCTCTTGTTACTGTCCCACACGTTCCACCAGATCTGCCAGCCTGCATCTGTGTTATTTCCCAGATCTGCACACGTATCAGATAACCTCATGATTTCCTATTTTTCCTGGTGCCCTCTCGTTCTCTCTTCTCATCTGCCCGGATTACTCTCTCGGCCTGCTGCCTGGCTGCTGTCCAGAGACTTCCCTTTCCATCACCTGGGACTGCCCTTGGCCACTGTCCCATGGTGGACACCCCGCTTTCCAGACCAATGGCCTTCTGCTTTCTTGGCTGTCGTCCCTCATTTTGCTGCCACACACCTTCAGTTCAAGATAAATTTTTGGAAACTGCATATCTTTATTCAGACCTCACATGGTTGGGCTGGGTGTAAAGTTGAAAATAATAAATTATATATGTAAATGTATAAGTTTATAGGTGTATACATTATACATAACCTACATATATAACATCTGTAACCTATATACATATATATATACACACACACACCATAAACATAAAGTTGAAAATCATTTCCCCTCAGAATCTTTAAGGCTATATTGTGTTTAGCTTCCTTTACTTGTACTGGAAAGTTTGATGCATTCCACCTCTCAGGCCTTTGTGGTTTTTTATTGGTGGAAGCTGTTAGGCTCCTCACTTGACCTCTCTTGTGAGTTCCGCAGTGCCATGCCATGTGGGGCTTTGTTCGTGTGCTAGCAGCGGATAGGCCCTTTCTAGGTGGAGACGCAGGTCTTTTGTTTCTGACAAATAGCCTTGCATTAACTTTCTTTTAAAGATTTTATTTATTGATTTGACAGAGACACAGCAAGAGAGGGAACACAAGCAGGGGGAGTGGGAGAGGGGGAAGCAGGCTCCCCCTGAGCAGGGGGCTGAGCAGGGAGCCCGATGCGGGGCTCGATCTCAGGACCCTGGGATCATGACCTGAGCTAAAGGCAGATGTTTAACCGACTGAGCCACCCAGGTGCTCTGCCTCGCATTTACTTTTAAAAATAATTTCGTCACGTGCATTTGTTCTGTTCTCTCTTTCCGAGATCCCCATCGCTCAGATGTGGGACCTACCGGCTGGAGCCTCAGCCTCTCATCTTTTCTTCCTTCTATCTTTCAGTTGTCTTTCTGGAAGCCTTTCTTTCTCTTTTCTTTTTTTCACGCTGTAACAGCTTTATTGATCTGATTCACATGCCATGAAATTCACCCTTTTAAAGTGTGTACCGTTCAGTGGCAGTTAGTACGCTCACAGTGTTGTTCAAGCTCAGTGTTGTTCAACCGTCACTACCTGATTTCATTTTCATCGCTCCAAAAAGAAACCCTGTAACTATTAGTAGTCGCTCCTCATTCCCCCCTCCTCCTCAGCTCTTAGCAACCATGAATTCCGTCTCTGCTACTCTGGATGCTTATACAAATGGTGGTCTTTTGTGTCTGGCTTCTTTCATTTTGCGTAATGTTCCCAAGGTTCATCCAAGTTGTAGCGTCTATGAGCACGTCCTTCCTTCCACTGTATGGGTATACTTCACTTTATCCATTCATCTGTTGATGGACATTGGATTGTTTCCACTTTTGGGCTAGTATCGGTAACACTGCTGTTGAACACCTGTGTGTGTGTGTGTGTGTGTGCACGGATTATGTTCATTTCTTTTGGATACATGCCTAGGAGTAGAAGTGCTGGATCATACGGTAACTCTGTGTTTAACGCTCTGAGGAACGTACCAAACATTGTCCACAGTGGCTGTACCATTTAACATTCCCACCAGTGGAATATGAGGATTCTCATTTCTCCACATCCTCACCAACGCTTGCAATTATTGGTCTTTTTGAATCTAGCCATCCTAGTGGACATGAAGTGGTATCTCCTCGTGGTTTTAATTTGCATCTCCAAGATGGCTAATAATGTCGAGCATCTTTGCATATACCTGCCGGCTATTTTTACATTTTTGTTGGAGAAATCTGTGGAGATTGGGAGGTTTTTTTTACTTTATCTCCAAACTCTGTCCATCAAATGTTTACTATGGCCATCCATATAAGAGGTCGTCCTTCCTCTGTTCCTTTTTCATGATTTTTTTTTTTAAAACATGGACGAAGCCAGCTTTTTTTTTTTTTTTCCAGATTTTATTTATTTGACAGGGAGAGAAGAGAAGGAGAGAGCACGAGCAGGGGGAGCGGCAGAGGGAGAGGGAGAAGCAAGCTCCTCACTGAACAGGAAGCCCAATGAGGGACTCAATCCCAGGGTCATGACCTGAGTGGAAGGCAGACGCTCAACGATCTGAGCCACCAAGGCACCCCTTGTCCATTTGTTAACTGAGTTGTCTTTTTGTTGTTGAGTTGCAAGAGTTCTTTATATGTTTTGAATAATGGACCCTTATTAAATATGTGATTTGCAAATATTTTCTCCATTCTGTAAGTTGCCCTTTCATTTTCTTGATAGTATCATTTGATATATGGTAGTTTTTATTTTTATTTTTTTAAAAGATTTTATTTATTCATTTGAGAGAAGAGAGCGTGCGCAAGAGAGAGCACGAGCAGGGGAGGGGCAGAGGGAGAGGGAGAAACAGACTCCCCGCTGAGCAGGGAGGCTGATGCAATGCAACGCGGGGCTCAATCTCAGGACCCCGAGATCATGACCTGAACCCAAGGCAGACACTTAACTGACTGAGCCACTGAGGTGCCCCTGTACACGGTAGGGCTAAACTATCTAGTTTTCTTTCACTGCTGTGCTTTTACTTATTTTTAAAGTTGTGAACATATATTAATTTAATAAAAATTAAAATTAGGGGGGTGCCTGGGTGGCTCAGTTGGTTAAGTGTCTGCCTTTGCCTCAGGTCATGATCCCAGCATCTGGGATCAAGCCCCACATTGGGCTCCTTGCTCAGCGGGGAGCCTGCTTCTCCTTCTCCCTCTGCCTGCCGCTCCCCCTGCTGGTGCTCTCTCTGTCAAATAAATGAATAAAATCTTTTTAAAAAATTAAAATTAGGATAAAAACATCAAGGCACTGAGAAACTGGCAGCTCTGTGTGGGCAGGGCTTGTTGAAAGTAGGCTTTTGTGGATACCTCAAAAAATTGGCTTTAAATCACATATGGTAGAAATTATATCACAATAACAAAGGAAACCAGTTATATTAAGAGTCATCAAGATTTATACTTTTTTTGTTAAGACATTAAATAACACAATCTAGCAGTGAGTCTAATTACTATAATTTCCAAGTAGTGATGACAGTAAACATTATTTCAAGATAACTGTGACAGCTGTAATGTGATATGAAATTTTCTGTGATTTCTATTGGTGCCAAAGTGACAGGTACTGCTAACATTAAAGTGGTTTATTGCCCATCTAAGTTTAAGGACATCCTGCTGGAGGGTGACAAACTGGCCCTTTCCTTAGGGGAAGACCTTTAAATGCCAGTACTCTTTATTGGCAGTCCTACAAAATCTTCTTCAGAGAAGAATCTTGTTACTCTAGGGGTCAATATTTTCTCTGATACTATCGCTTGTGTGTGTTTTTTTTTTTAAGATTTTATTTATTTATTTGACAGAGACACAGTGAGAGAAGGAACACAAGCAGCAGGGGTGGGAGAGGGAGAAGCAGGCTTTCCGCCGAGCAGGGAGCCCGATGCGGGGCTCGATCCCAGGATCATGACCTGAGCCGAAGGCAGCTGCTTAACGATTGAGCCACCCAGGCGCCACTATCGCTTGTGTTTTAAAATTAATGATTTTGGGGATGCCTGGGTCGCTCAATCGGTTAA